TATGCTTAACGATCCGGTTACATACATATACTAAGTGACATATAAATCCGAACACCCAGTTTAAATGGTTTTATTTTAATAAAATTTTAAAAAGTACTTAATGAAGCATAATAAGTAAATGATAAAAATTTCAAAATGATTGCACTGCTTTAACCTTTAATAATGTGTGGATGCACCCTGATGTGGTACGCATTCTCCAACGCGCCTAGGCATGCTTCTGATCAGGAGGTCAATGTCCTCCTGTGTCATACCAGGCAACCACCAACTCCTCTAGAAGAGCTTCTAGAGTCTGAGGAGGACGTTGCAAATTGAGCAATCTCCTACCCATCATATCCCACACGTGCTCAATTGGGGATGAGTCGGGAGATCTTGGTGGCCATGGTAACAATGTGACATCATTATGTTCAAAGAAGTCTATTGTGACTCTTGCAACATGTGGTCATTATCTTGTTGGAAAGTTGGATCTGCCAGGGTGTCAAGATAGGGTAAAAGATGGGGTTATAGAACTTCGTGGATATAACGCTGCGCGTTCATGTTATCTCTGATGATTAAAGGTGACCTGGAACCATAAGCTATAGCACCCCAAACCATAACTCCAACAGTGTGATGAACATGTCTTTCAACAAAAAACTGTGTATTCCTCCTTTCACCACGTCGCCTTCTAACCCTGGCACGACCATCGTGCATGCCTAAACAAAATCGAGACTCGTCACTAAAGACAGTACTGTTCCATTCCTGATCCCAGAGTGACCGTTGTCTGCGCCACTCAAGGCGATTACGTCGGTGTTCTCGAGTTAAAGGGAGGACCCAGTGTGGCCGGTATGAAAACAAGCCAAAACTTCTCATTCGTCGGTAAACTCTTCGCATGCCAATAGGTCTTCCGTGTTCTGCAAACCATTCATTTGCAATGGACCTGGTAGTGGAGAAACGGTCCCTTAAGGCCAATAATCTTAGGCGGCGATCTTCACGGTCTGTTGTTCTACGGCGGCGTCCAGTGCCCCTTGCTCTTTGCGTACGGCCTTCTCGAAGCCATGCCTGACAACACCTAACCACAGTGTCTACACTTCTTTGCACTCTAACTACAATTGCCCGAAAAGAAAGTCCAGCTTCCCGAAGTCCCACTATACGGCCCCTATCAAACTCACTAAGTTGACGAAATCGTACAGGTCTCCGTACTCTAGGCATCGTAACCGATCGTACAGGATGTCAAGAACCAAAATCCGCCAACGTTGATTCTTTACTGCGGCTGAAATATTCATTTTTAGAGCGTTAGTGAATTAAAAAAAAACAGTATAAAAACCGGAATGTCCAACTGATAAGGATGAAAATTTTTTCACTTGTTATTTATAGTAGGATAAATACATTCACCAACTTTTATTAAAATAAAACCATTTAAACTGGGTGTTCGGATTTATATGTCACTTAGTATACATAGATGCATACAGGCCAAGCTAATAAAAGCGTGTCAAAAATAATTCTTTTTCTACGGCATTTTGAAGTAAACGTCTCAGAAAATGAAAAAATTCGAAAAACATGCAGCGAATAAATACGAAAAAATGGCGTCGTATCGGTATCATAACATCTGAAACTTTGATTGAGCCCAATCAGAGCATTTTTTGTAAAGGTGTACACCATATTAAATCCGCCATTTTGTTCTTTCTAATTTTGGCCATATTTAAGGATCCAATTTTGAACCACTATGGCCTGTGGAATAAATTATAAATGTTAATGCGTGATAAAGCATAATAAATATTTCGCATAGTATACTTGACTATAAACCATTATTATACTCTTCTTTGGAAAATCAGTGGAGTCGTCAAGAAGAAAACCTTCCATTTTATTTATTGTATATCTATAACATCGCACAGCAGTCTATGCAAGATAAACAATATATTTCCACTGATCAGCTTGAGCGCTAAGGAATTTTAGGTTATCAGAATAATTCTTTCAGGTATATGACAGATACCAGTTATACTATGATATGCACAAACAAGATGAAATCGATCTAATTTTTTTCTAAATTTTTACTTCCTATGGCAAAACCGGAGAGGAAGTACGAGCCCCTTCCCACTTCAGTTGGCCCACTTCAAGATTTGTACCAAAATATGCCTTTATAAACTAAACATGACGAAACTATTTACTTCTAAAACAATGTATTTTCTCAAAAACATTTTAGATACACTCTAGTCGTAAAAAATACATATTTGAAATCACTTAGACCTATAACTAATATAACATCTGAACAAATAAACAATGTGCGAATAAATGCGCGAAGTTAACAAAGCAACAATTGAAAGATTACCATTTGGTAGCATCACCTTTATTTTTTATTACGGCTGAAATTCTTTGGGGCATAGTGTTAACCAAGTTTTGGCAAAAATTTGGTGTAAAACAATCCCATATTTCTTGAAGCTTTTGTCTCAGTTCGGTGGTTGTACGAGCAGGATGTTGTCGTAGAACCTTTTTCGTCTCGTGCCACAAAGTTTCAATAGGTGACAGATCTGCTAGAAACCCATTTCAAAAGTGGTACATTATTTTCTGCCATTTTATAGCCTTTTTTGAGGTATGGCACGCTGCACCATCTTGCTGAAACACAAAATCTTGGCCGGATGTCAAACATTCTTCCATCACTGGTAAAAGCGATTCTTCTAAAATTGTCAAATATTTGTTTGTATCCACATTGCCATCAATAAAATGAAGTTTTCCTACTCCTTTTGATGGCATACTGCCCCAGACCATAATGGATGGTGGAAATTTCACTTTTCTCTTCAGACAGTCAACATGGAATGCTTCATTTTTTTGCGAATAAGGTTACTGCTGTGCCAAGGATGAAAAAGCCTTCTAGTTTTTGAAAATCCGTCCAATGGTACAATGAATATCAAACTCGAAACTGCGGTGGTGTCGTCACTGGCACCAGCGGTATGATTTGTTTTTCTGTCTTAACGTTGAGTCACCAGGTCACCACCTTATCCGCTGGACCACCCCCGCCGCCCCCCTGATACGCCACTGCTGCTAATCGTAAGTCGCTAAGGTCGCTGTACTATCAGAATGAGCCAAAATAAAAAAGAATCCATCTGTGGTTCGGCGATATGCGTTTTATGAGGCGAGTACCGTCCCGTCTGCAAGCCAACCAAAGAACCGTCCATCCATCGAGATCGTTCGTCCGTCCTGGTACTTTCGGTTATCTCGCGCCGGCGAAATGCTGGGGATAACTCGATTTGCTGCGGGTCGTTATTAATGCATTTTTTAGGTTTTCCGCACAAACTCATTTATCTTCGCTCGCCAAAAATTATCTGACATGCCGGAATGCGCCAAACGCACTGTAATTGATCTTGAAAAATGAACGACAAACATACATCATACATTATGCCCGCTGTTTGCCCGTCGTCCGTACCGGATAATATGCATACGGTAGTTGCGGTCGGCTGGAAATGATCGGCGAACTTTTTGGTCACTACGTCAATACAGTAGGTATAGTTGTAGTCGCCGTTCTTCGCGGTTACGTCATCAACGCCATACGGAATAAGTAAACAGATCGAGTCTCCGTACCACGGGCGGATCTTAAACCATCCCACAAACCGGCGCGAAATAATCGCGGCGAAGTATTCGCAACGAAATTCAGAGCGAAATTCGCAATCTGTTTCGCCTGTTTATTCATACCAAAGCGTCTTATTCGCTCCGCGAACGTGAAGGTTTCGACAGGTTGCGTACATTTTATTTTTGCCTTTTGCAATGAGCTCGTCTTCAGAAGAAGAGGAGGCACTTCTATTTCTTGCTTTAGAAGAGGAACAAAATGCACGGTAAGTTATGTTTATTTAACGCCATTTGATAGTTGGGTATGTATTAAGTTTAATGAAGTACATAAAACAAATATTTTCAATTTTGTTTAGGAAACGAAGGAAGTGGGTACATGATATTAACTTGGAACGAAATAAATTTGGGGAATACCATACCTTGATGCCACAACTTCGGGTGGATGAACGGCGCTTTTACGTATATTTTAGAATGACTCTAGAGTGTTTCGATGAAATATTGAACTTGGCGAAAGATGAAATACGAAAATCTGACACAAATTATCGTGAAGCTATTTCGCCAGAAGAACGACTTGCTATTACACTCAGGTAAAAAAATTATATGTATTAAAATTAGTAGGCTTATCGAATACGAAAACTTCAGGGATCGTGAAATAAATATTTTATTGTAATAATTGGACTACATGTTGCCACTAGGATTAAATGTTGCTAAATAATTCGAGGCAGAATTTGCCTCCTCTGTTGGGTATATTATTGGAGTAAACCCAGTGCCGCTTGGAAAGGACGACATACTACTATCATACATACTTGCAGAATTCTGGGTAGACGCTGAAGACATTTCTTCAATATGTTCAAATTCTTCGTGCGCTATTAATTCGGCTATTTTTAGTTTATTCGGGCTTGACGCTTTAAGGGAAGTGTTTTCACAGTCTGTGCATGTGCCAAGAAAAGTGAATCAATGGCCTCGTTCTCTTTTTTAGGTTGTTTACCTTCAAAATAATTAATGAGCTGTTGTACAGACGAAGATGGTGGTTCATAGCGTTTTCTGCTCGTTTTATATTTTGGTGTAGTTGCAGTCTGCGGAAAGGTGTGCCCTGGAGTAGTCACTGCTGTAGTGTTCAATGAAGAAGGTGGTGCTGTCTGTGTTGCCGAGGCGTTCTGTGCATCTTCTGCATCTACATCAGCATTTTCATCTTCTCCATGGCCGCGGTCTTCCAAATTTTCGGTTTCTACATTTCCAGCCCTTTCCTGATATATATTTGAGTTAAATTCGGCAGTCTCATAATGTATGACGTCAATATCTTTCACATTAGACGACGTTTTGGCAAATGCCAAAAAAGGACGGAAAAATTCCATGTAGTCAGCCCACTGCCATTTTTTTATGTTGCCCACTGCTTGGCCGGTCTTTGGTTTGGTAGATTTTATATATTTTGCAAATGTGTCTCTGATATTATTCCACCTTTTTTTTACTTCATCACCTAAAAACGATTTTTTTATAGATTCCTTGCCACTGGTGACACCTTCTATACCATTGGGCATAGCTTTCGAGTTGGCTTTACAACAGTGAGTGCAATCGTAACCGAAGTCTGTGAAGCGATATGCAGACATATGGAGCATATATATTTACCAGAACCAACAGAGAATATATGGAAAAAATGTGCTGAAGAATTTGAAAATAGATGGGGATTTCCCAATTGCATTGGCAGCGTGGACGGTAAACATGTAACAATCAAGAGACCTAACAACAGTGGCTCCAATTACTGGTGCTATTTACATAAATATTCAATAGTACTTATGGCCATTGTTGGCCCGGACTATAAATTTATATGTGTTGATATTGGTGGTTTCGGAAAAAATAGTGATGGGGGTATTTTCGAAACCTCAAACATGGGAAAACGATTTGAACAAAATTTAATGAGTAATTCTTTTCCTATTTCCATCCAAATCTTGTCTTTCTTTCTCACATTCCTGTATTCATCGTTCGACAAATCATACAAACAAGGATACTTTTTCACTATTTCTATCAATAATTCCGTTTTTGCCATTGCGAATTTTTGAAGAACGGCGTCAAAAACGCGGTCAAAGGCGAACTGAAATACGCCGCGATAAAAACGCTGGAACAATCGCATTCGCTTCGCACAAGTCTGAGCCTGTCCGTAAATTGCCGCGTTTTAATCTGATCGCGAATTCATCGCCGCGAAATTTTCGCAGCCAAAGCGAATATTTCGCGCCGGTTTGTGGGATGCTTAACTTTCTTAAATGAGGGGAAAACGATTAAAAATTATTTACTAATCGTAAGCATGGGTAGAGTATGACACGCCATTTGATGTTTTTTGAAGTTGAGATTTACAATATAATACAAAATATGTACATCTATTTGCTAACCCTATATCTGGTGCCATAACCTGTAGGCGACATCATCTTTAAACCTCAATTTCTCGTCCTCCCTGCTCTAACGGTCTGATTGGGCAGTGTCGCTCGTAAGCTACATTATTCATTAACGGAAATAATATTATGAGCGACCTCTGTTTATAAAAAGCTGCCGCGTAGCAGGTGTTTGGTGCACGTATGAATCTGTAGTTGGGATTTTTGTTGCAAATGGCAAGTAATCATGTGTTTTTATGTTTTATTAGCCTTGGTTGGTGCAAAAGAAGGTTGAGTCTTTATGTTTATGATTATTCTTAAGCGATAGATCAGAAAATAAGGCAGGAAAATGACTTTGTTTAGTATGTATCTCTCAAGCAACATTGCCAGAATAATTACGTTTTCTTTTTCAGTCCTCTGATCTGGATAATTTTCCAACCATAAGCACTACATGTTTTTTCGGCAAAAAGAAGGCACGGACCGTAATTCCCACAGATCCGCATATTTCCGATGTCTCAGACGACGATTTCAGTGACGGAGAAAATATTTCCCAAACAAATGAGCTTAACGATGAAGAAGAAGTGCCTTCAGGACTTGACATGCTGGTTCCAGAAAGTATACTAAGTGACATATAAATCCGAACACCCAGTTTAAATGTTGGTGAATATATTTATCTTACTGTAAATAACAAGTGAAAAAATGTTCAGCCTTATCAGTTGGACATTCCGGTTTTTATACTGCTTTTTTTTAATTCACTAACGCTCTAAAAATGAATATTTCAGCCGCAGTAAAGAATCAACGTTGGCGGATTTTGGTTCTTGACATCCTTTACGATCGGTTACAATGCCTAGAATACGGAGACCTGTACGATTTCGTCAACTTAGTGAGTTTGATAGGGGCCGTATAGTGGGACTTCGGGAAGCTGGACTTTCTTTTCGGGCAATTGCAGTTAGAGTGCAAAGAAGTGTAGACACTGTGGTTAGGTGTTGTCAGGCATGGCTTCGAAAAGGCCGTACGCAAAGAGCAAGGAGCACTGGACGCCGCCGTAGAACAACAGACCGTGAAGATCGCCTCCTAAGGTTATTGGCCTTAAGGGACCGTTTCTCCACTACCAGGTCCATTGCAAATGAATGGTTTGCAGAACATGGAAGACCTATTGGCATGCGAAGTGTTTACCGACGAATGAGAAGTTTTGGCTTGTTTTCATACCGGCCACAGTGGGTCCTCCCTTTAACTCGAGAACACCGACGTAATCGCCTTGAGTGGTGCAGACAACGGTCACTCTGGGATCAGGAATGGAACAGTATTGTATTTAGTGATGAGTCTCGATTTTGTTTAGGCATGCACGATGGTCGTGCCAGGGTTAGAAGGCGACGTGGTGAAAGGAGGAATCCACAGTTTTTTGTTGAAAGACATGTTCATCACACTGTTGGAGTTATGGTTTGGGGTGCTATAGCTTATGGTTCCAGGTCACCTTTAATCTTCATCAGAGGTAACATGAACGCGCAGTGTTATATCCACGAAGTTCTAGAACCCCATCTTTTACCCTATCTTGACTCCCTGGCAGATCCAACTGTCCAACAAGATAATGTCCGACCACATGTTGCAAGAGTCACAATAGACTTCTCTCAACATAATGATGTTACAATGGCCACCAAGATCTCCCGACTTATCCCCAATTGAGCACGTGTGGGATATGAAGGGTAGGAGATTGCCCAATTTGCAACGTCCTCCTCAGACTCTAGAAGCACTTCGAGAGGAGTTGGTGGTTACCTGGAATGAGATACCACAGGAGGACATTGACCACCTGATCAGAAGCATGCCTAGGCGCGTTGGAGAATGCGTAGCACATCAGGGTGCATCCACACATTATTAAAGGTTAAAGGGCTTTAAAGCAGTGCAATCATTTTGAAATTTTATCATTTAATTATTATGCTTCATTAAGTTCTTATACAAAATTTTATTAAAATAAAACCATTTAAACTGGGTGTTCGGATTTATATGTCACTTAGTGTATATTTGAGTATTTCTTAATCGCTGTAAATATAGTGTGGATGTTCCTGAACAACCAAAAAATATTTTACTTTATGGATATATGGATATCAAAAATCTTGAATGGTTTTGTGGGAATATCAATCGACGGTGCTATAATGAACGGCAAGTAAATGAATGAATGTTTGGAAACGAGCAATATCTATGAAATTTTTGGTAGAGCCTGACATCAAGTAGGGGCTTAATGGCTATCTGCAAGAGGTTTATAGGAAAAACACACGGTAGGTGATGTTGAATCAGTAAAATCGCATATCAATTGAAGAAAATAATAAAACATGAATAAACAATCGACAATATTAATTAAACGTGAATTTTATTCAAAAATCGAACACTTTTTTACATTTGAATGAATTATATGTAATTTCTTAATATTCAATAAGCTGGTGATGGTTCAATGACAAGCTGTCATCTCATACTTTGACAGTATTTATTTTCAAACATTTCATAGCTATTGGTTGCTAAAATTTGTTGACTGGAACTTGAAGCTCATCCGCTGTATTCAACGGACTGTTACACTATAGGTGGAGAACAACGGACTGTTGATTTGACAATCCTGGTCAAATCCACCCTAAACAAGTGAAATTTTTGAGTATTACAATCAAGTTTCTCGTCCGAATCGGTCTTCCGCTGAAATTATGCCCATATTCCAGATAAACTAAAAAAGATGAATTTCAACAACTGCCACAGTTCAACACCAGCAATCCTATTACTGATGTTCTCGAGCCATTACTCCTGTGACGCCTCCTCCCGG